TATATAAATATAAAATGAGAATTACTGTACCAATGTATCATTACAGCCATTCTAAACCAAATTATTATCAGTTACAACTAACCACAATTTACAATAAATGTATCATGTACAAAGCAAGATTTTGACGGCAAAAGTTAACTAAATGACAGAAGAAGGAATGCATTTTATATTGAATACGAAAATATGCACAATTGTGCACATACACACGTACAACAGGACTTTATAAAAAAGACATTATATTTATACAGCATCTTTCATAAGACTTTTGCCCACTAAAGAAAAAAATGATTATAATTTGTACAAAATTAAGTCTATAATTTCCATATCCATATCCAATCAAATTTATTGCACACTGTAATAAAGATTGCGTATTAAAGATGTGAATTGAAAATGTTTTATCCACACGCGCAATACTCATGCGCTCTCGCGAATTCAAATGAACATTTTGCAGAATGCCACACAAAGTTCCATATGTTGGGATGTCTGTATGAAACTGGGAATTTTTGGAATTTATGAGAAAGGTATAAGATTACAAATTTGATCCAAACCTGAGCAAGTTCGTAGTAACCAGCTGAGCAAGCTAAAGAAAGCAAACTTTCTCCCTCCTCGGTGGTCTCGTGAACACTTCGACCCTCGGTTAACAATTTCCGAACGGTACCGACGTCTCCGTCGGTGCACGCCTCGACGAGAGAGCGCTTTTCGTTCGGCGCACGCGGATTGTCACTACGCATACGTGTTAATGCTGCCGCAGCTTCATCCAATGCACAAGAAACACTCGATGTTAATCGACGAAGCACCTCGTGATCGGGCAGGTGCTTCCCATCACCCGAGGACAGTTTCCCAATGCCGGCTGCTTCGAGGAGTGCCTCGAGGCGCGCTTGAGTTTCAGGGTCCACAGATCGTTCAGGATCCTCAGGAGTCAGTAAGAATTTTGACGATTCAGGATGATCTTCGTCCAACTCAACCTGATCAATTGCAAAACACTCCACCTATAATAAGAAACATCCATCGGTAAAGCCGAGTATGTATGTAAAAATATAAAAAAAGACTACAAATTGGATGAAGAGTTAAATCTTATTATTTTAGGCTTCGTTTATCAACATAGATCTCGCTCGTATCGTGATTACTCGTTCTACTTTGTTTAGCCACGTCATTTAACAAGGACTCTTCACGAGAATACGGATCCTCGCTTGTCGATCGCTGATTCAGAGATCAAAGCGGAACAGAACGATGACGTCTAGGAGATCGGTGATTTTCTCGGTGAAGCACGATCGCGCACTCGAAACACGTAATCGCGTAGCCGCGTGCCGCCGCGAGACAATAAACGACAATAAATCGGGAACGCCGGGTGAAAGTATAATTGTGTTTTCTAGGCGAACGGTGTGGCTCTGTCGCGCGGTACGCCACGATCACGTTTCAGCGCTCGACAATCGGCGAGATGCGCGCGGTCGTTCCTCCCGCGAAGGAGCGGCCTACGATGACGACGATGACGATGACGACACTGATACATTCGTGTCTGATACCCTACGGCATCCCCCGTATTTACCCGTACGTAATACCTAGACCTAGACACGAGCGGTGTGTCGCTCCTCCATCGTCGTTCTCATCTCTTGTCTCACCCCGCCTCGAGGCACGATCGGCCGAAGCAGCACGAGGATAATCGAGCGACGTACATTCGTGTGTCGGAAGCGCGCTCGCGCTTCTCTCGCGAGAGCACACGACGCACGGGGACGGATGACGACGGGGAGCGTACGACGATCGAGATCGATGCCGATTAGCTCCTTTCCTACCACGTCGTCAACGGCGCGCGGAGAGACACGCTACGACGAAGGAATCTCGACGAACGAACGCCGTCGAATATAGAATAATATGGTGGCCCGATGCCCTATAGCTTCCACGCGTGCATCGACCAACGACGGCCACTACGCACGGAAGCGAAGCGGGACGCCGCCTTGACACGGTGTGACACGGACGCACGGCCGGACCGGCGGCCGCGAGCGATCGTTTCCCCTCGCGTTCCTCGCGCTTCTTGCTCGCGTGCGAACTGGCAAAGGTAGAACCTCGGCCGGAACGCAGGAACAAGCTAATCCGCTCCGCGAGAACTCTCGTGCGGACACTCGCGGACACGAGCGAGAACGCGGCGTATCTATGGCAAGCCCACCAGGTGGCGCGCCCGACGACAGTGCGACGAACGCAACACGCTTACGGATCGCGCATCCCGTGCATACGTACCTATACGCGCGCACACATGTGTACGAGCGTGTATGTGTGCACGTGCGACGGACTGCTGCTTGTGTTTGTACGCGGTTTCCTGCGACTATCGCGCGCGTAAGCACATTCACACACGTGCCTATACATGCACGCGCACGCGCGTGCTCATGTGCTGCACAAGCCATCGAGTACTTTTTAACCAGCATTGCGCGGTCACACACACGCACACACACCATATATATATATATATATATATATATATATATATACACATACACACACACACACACACACACACACACACACACACACCTAGGCGCATATGCACACGCGAGCACGCAAGCCAGTTATTCTTTCACTCTCCCCTTCCTCTCTCTTTTTCTCTGTCATTCTCGCGAAACACGCGGGGGATGCCAGGAAGGATAGGAACGGCATTCGAATACTACACCTCGATGCGATCGCCCGTTGCTCTCGTAGACGTCAGAATAAAGGTGGAAGTCGTTGCGAGGCGCGCACGCTTGCATTACAGCGAGAGAAAGGAGCATAGAAGGGATGGGAGAGGAGAGGAGAGAGGGACAGAGATGGAAGGAGGATGGGAATTGCGTGAGTGACTCACGCGATGATCAAGTAGCGAGAGAAAAGGAAAGAAAAAAAAAAGAGAGAAAAAGAAATTCAGCTAAGTGACGAAAACAGATATCAACGCATCAACATTATCATCGTTGTCTTTGTCGTCGTCGTCGTCGTCGTCGTCGTCGTCGTCGATAGTGACGGCAACGGCGGCGGCGACGACGACTATGACTATTAACGTATACATATATCCTAGTTATATAACTCTTTTCCCGATGTTCAATTCGCCGTCTGACATTCCTCCTTGCCTTCGTCCCTTCATTCCTCCACGACGAAGCTACGCTACGTCCGAAACTCCGGCCATCTACATTCACCTAGCCGACATATACCTAGCGAAGCGAAGACACCTGGTGGCTGATATGAAACCTAACGTCGGGCAACGAACACGGGTAACGATAAACTCGGCTGGGATGGGAGGAAAGGGAGAGTGCGGGATATATAGATGGGAAAGGCACGTTTCAGCGCGCCTTCGTCAAGAACCTTCGATCGCGAGCTCCAATTAACTTGATCTATGATTAATTCCTCGAAGCAAAATTTCTAGTTGCGTAATTCCTCTCTGCCCCTAATCTAATCTTTTTTTTCTCTTTATATGCCACGGCGAATAGCAAAGAATTAATAACTCCGTCCATGTCCGACAAAATATTACAAATATTACTTGATAACTCATGTCTATCTTCACCAATGTAGATTAACTTTGATCTCGGTTTAACTCACTTTTTATCTTCCTTTAAGTTTTAAGAATTATAGAACATAAAGACCAAATCGAACCGAGATTAACATTCACTTATATTAGTAACATAGATATAACATAGATATAAGTTAACTGAAGTTCGATCAAAAAATTTTTGAGACTATTTCTTGATCGATCCCGTTCGCATTGCACTCAACTTTTACTTCACAATTTCACAATTTGACTTGACAATATCGATGTATACAAAAAGAAGCGCAGAGTCGCGAATTTACAAATTCGCCTGCTTAACTGCAAGTACATGTTTTCGTATGTATCTGAAAAAACTGCAGAAAACAGGATAATTGAACAAGTATACCTAACAGGTAAACGTAATCGGTTTTGTATGTTTTTTTAGCGACATAAATACAATATACATATATAAATATATGCATGTATAGACCTTAAAGAGAAAGAGATCAAAACTTAAAAATGCAAATTGAAACAGATGTTATAGATTAGACGAGAATGTTATAGATTAGAAAAGTAACTTTACAATGGCGGAATTGATATCGATACAGACTTCATTTTGAGTCTAAGATAGTTGCGTCATTTATCTAATTAATTTGTGATATTTATTTACAAAATCACAATCTTTGTAAAAACTTAGACATCAGAAAGGTAATTCCAACAAGTTGAAATTGAATGTCCAAAGATAGTTTTAAAATTTGCTTAAGAATTTTGAAAAGGAAAAAGAAAAAAATTTTATTGTAGATATATTGGAAAAACATAAAAAGTTCTAAGGACTCTCTTATGCACTTGAAAGTTACATCCATTGAATTAATCGATATCAAACAAATTCTAAGCAAAATTAAATGCTAATTGAATGCTTAAACTCAATTTTAGAAGAATTATATTAATGATTAAGAGAAAAGACTTATATTAAACTTCTTCTTACATATAAGAGACACAATGAGTTGTAATAATTATTTGTTAATATATATAATATTAATACAGAGATATAAGATTACAAAATATTAAATCAGGTAGAGCGAGCCCTCACTTTGACAAATTGATATCCTTATATTCATCTTTAAATAGTTTAATTATAGTTTAATTATAATTTAATTTGAATTTTTATTCAATTTACTGTTTATCTTTCTTTAATTCTAAGAATTCAAAAACAATAAAAGGTAAATTAAATCGAAATTAAAATTAAGATATTGGTAGAAATAGACATTAAAATATTGCATCAATAAATCAATATTTTGATATCAAATTTTTTACTCAAGTTACGAAATTTCTTCAACAGAACAAATATCTAATTCGCTATGATACTTTAATATTACATCAAACAAGTCAAAATAGTCGAGTTTAAAAAAAATTATATTTTAACGATTAGTGCGTATTATCTCTGCAATTTATATATATCAGACATTTATTTTTTCATGTGTTAAGTCATTCACTATACATCTAATTTTTTACCAACTTTACTATCCAATCCTGGACTTTCATCTCTAATTAGCATTGAATTAGAATTTTATTTTGTATGTTAAAATTTATCTAATAAAACTTATCTTATTTTGGGAAATTAAATCACTTAAGGATGTATTAGCTATTTTTATAATTTTTATATTTGCAATAATAAAATTAATTATAAAAAAACCTAGATTATTCTAAATTGCATTTAAAAATAATACAAAGAAGTTTAGCAGTAGTTTATAATCTGGATCAAAAATTATTTAAATAAAAGCGTGCTCTACTGAAAATGTGATTAAGAAATGACAAAAATCTAAATTTTTTTTACATAAATATGTTTTTTACATAAATATATATAATGTCTATAAATAAAATTAAATTTTTATTTATAGAATAACTAATCTCTGCATGATAAAACTTTACGTAAATCATCTTGAATACTTATACAAAACAAAAAAAAAAATTAATATTTTTGTCATTATTTTTTAATTACATTATTATTAAAGAATATTTCTACTTAAATAATTTTTTATTTAGATTTTAAATTCGTAAAATTTTTTGTATTATTTTTAAATCTAGACTAATCTATAATTTTTTTCAAAACTTTTTCCTTGTAAATAAAAATAAATGTGATATATCCTTAAAGAGGAATGTAAAAAGATTCATAATGTATATTAGAAAGAATTCTAAGAAAATAAGTTATAATTGAGAAATTAGAATTCAGGTACAGTGAATGACAGTGTATATAAATTATCATTCTTTCTAATTATAATAGATAAATAAGAAGTATTAGCTAAGATAGGTCCTTAGTTAACTCTTTGTACATGAATGCATGTCATTCTGCATTAATTCCAACTATTGATTATGATTTTAAGATTATAATTCCACTTATGATGGTGAGAACAAACAAAATTAATCGGGAATCGTTCGAAATGTGCTAAGAACGCAGAAACAGATAACTCAAGATCAATGATTCAATGTTTCCTTTTAGGTTATGGTCCTGTTCATAATACAGGAAAGATGAAATTAGAATTAGCAGTCAAATCTTAGTTCAATTGCACAATCTAGTTCTATTAAGTCTGAACTCATATTTTCTTGCCCATTTCTAGATAATTTATAGTCATAATAAAGAAAATTCAATCGTTTTTAGAGTCAATGTTATCTCACATACTGATGCAATTCGCAACTCGACCTTGTTTGATTAGTGATAATTTCTCTAAATTATCCTATTTGTACTATAGACAAGAATTCCATGTAATCCAGGGTTGGTGTTAATTAACCATTTTGATGCAACTTTGTCTCGTGGTATCTTTTTTTATTGAAGCAATTTGTATCACTCCTTCAAACAATGACCTACATCAAACATTTATATAGTTTCCCTTATATTTGCCAAATTAACATTTGGCGAAAAGAAAAGCTGTACAACAAAAGTTATCTTTGAATATAAGAATAATTCATGAATCAACTTAATCAATGATTGACTTATCAAGCAATATCTGTTTTCTTAATATAAGAATGTAATAAATTTTTTGTTTAATAGATGCAAAAAAATATTAGATGAAAAACAATATATAAATAAAAATATAATAGTAACTAGTTCTAGCAGTCGAATTGATCTCATTAAATTAATCAAAGTTTCATCAGTCATCATTAAACATCTATTTTTACCAATATAGATAAATTTTAATTTCGATTTAATTTACTAATTATTTTTTTCTAATCCTTAGAAATAAAAAAAAGATAGAAAGTTAAACTGCTGATATTAAAATTAATTTGCATTGATAGAAATGAGGCAAAGATGATTTTGTCATCTATTTCTATCAATGTAGATTAATTTGAATGTTATTTTATTTATTTTTGTCTTTTTTTAATTCTAAGAATTAAGAAAAATAAATTAAATTGAAATTAATCTATATTAATAGAAATAGATAAATCATGCAATATTCTTCCTATCACTTGTCACAATTCGATGGTGTAAAGTGAATATTAATCCAATGATATATATCACTATTCTTGAACAATTAAACCTGATGAATTAAACCTGATTTTCATGAGTTTTTATTCCACTTGAAACCAAGATTCAAGATTCTCTATATGATGTAGATGAGGAATGCTTCAGTCCACTTCGTGTCAAAACCCCTTCTACCCTGCACATATATATACGTTAGATTATAATTTTTACAAAAATTTCTAATAAAACCGATATATACCGACATATACCATATAACAAAGAGAATGCAGTTGTGAAATCATGAGGCATAATTATCTATCTCTATGTCTCCTTTTCTCATTATTAAATCAACTTGTGAGATGAATTAGAGATTATCCATATAAGATATATTTCTAAAATTTGTTAAATAATAAAAAAAACTTACGAGCACATCATTTTTCAATATAGTCTCCTTGCTTTTGAAACCACTTAGTCCAATGTTCCACACATTCGTTTATGACATTTATGCCTTCTGAATAAATATTTTTGGTCTCTCAGTCACATATGTACTGCTTCTTTCATATTTTGGTCAGTAATTAATCAATCCTCTCAAAGCATCAAATAAATAATAATCCAAGGAAGTAAAGCCAGAACTATATGTGGAGGCTGCTCAAATCTCAGGTGTTTCATCATCATGGACAGCAACATGTGGACGACCAAAATGTGAAAGGAACGTTGCATGCGTGAGCTGAGATCAATCAAAAATATTTTTTTTCTGAAAGCATAAACAAATCTATAGAATGTTGAACCAAACATATTTAAAAGCAAGGATTAAAAACAGTACTTATAAATTCTTTACTGTTGTCTTAATAAATTTTAAAAATAACTTATCTTTATGTTCAAAAAAATCACCTTTTTATTTTTTCTTCTATGATTAGCTAAATTCTAATCTCGATACTTTTTCCCCAATGAGCCCTTTCCAAATTTTAATTAACTTTAAAGAAGTCAATTTTTTCACAACTGATCATATATGATAAAATTATGTTTTTCTAAAACCAAATAATCTCTTCGTTTTCGAAGAGATTAAAAATATAAAGATTCGGAATATATAGATTCGGTATTACCTAAGAAAGACATACGAAGATGAAAAGACAAAAGATGACTTAACAGGAGAATACTTTAAAGGTTTTGGATCACCTGTTCATCAAAGATCACCTGTTCATCAAAGATCATTCAGATATGTCGAAAGCATGGAAAGCAATTTATTTTTTTATATAAAAAGTTAATATTTTGATCGTTTTCTCGTCGTTTTTCTTGCTTGACTTGAATGCCCTCTTTCACGCGTGTACATCATATATATGCCAATGACACGAGCGAATGTAAGCATATACATGGAAATCGCGACGAATATCTACGAGTAACGGACGTATGGGTAAGGAATAACACACACACACACACACACACACACACACACACACACACACACACACACACACACACACACACACACACACACACACACACACACACACACACCACACCACGTTCCGCGTAGATCGTTATGATCGATTCGATATAACGAGCGAGCACGCATAATGTCGCCGATGCGACGATGCAATGCGCGAAAATGCGCGTCGAATAGAAATAGGAAATATGCCGCAGGAAGCGCCAGCGAGTGAAAAAGGAGAGGAAAAAGGACGGAGGAGGAAAGACAGAGAGAAACTCGAGCGAGCGAGCGAGCTCGGCGCGAGCCACTAATTCGAGATCGGGATTCAGCGCATTCCTAGAACTGGCGCCAACGGCAATAGCGTGTGTACCCGCCCTGCGTTGTACACGACAATGTGACGAGAATGTGGCGATGCGTTCAACATCGGGCATGCCGACATTAGGCGACGTTAACGGCGGGGACGATGGCGAGGAGGCAAAGGGGGGGGGGAGACACGATGGCGAGTGACGCCCGCATAGAGAATAAAATCATGTCGGCGTTGGCGTTACTCACCGTGGAAGGCACGCTCTCGATTTGCGAAGAACGATATTCGTTCGAGAACGCACGTTACACATATGCATCGAGCGAGTATAGAGCCTGTCCCAGTCTGTCCGTCTGTCCGCTGTCGCTCTCTCTCGCCACACATACATTTTCTCTTTCTCTCTCTCTCTCTCTCTCTCTCTCTCTCTCTCTCTCCCTTCCCTCCCTATCGTCCCATCATTCTTTCTCTCTCTCTCTTTCCCTCTTCTTCTTTTTCGAGCCATCTTTCCCGTGTTCTCTCTTACTCTCATGTCCTCTGTCCCCGACACGCCGTGCACACGGATATCTTATCACGTTGCGTTCCGCGCGAGCCTCTCGGCATTAAGCGTTTACCTCGGAAACGCTGTCCTCCTCGCTCTCCGACGAATCTGTCATAAAGCGCGGCTGCAATTCCGAGAAGGTCTCGGTCTCCGATTTCGTCGGGCTCGAATTCGAGGACTGGGGAGTCGACGTCTTCCCCGTATCGTGGTGAATCCTCGCCGATGACGATGATGGTGGCGGTGGTGGTGGTGCCGCTGCCGTTGCCGCCGCCGCCGCTGCTGATGCGGACTGCTTCTCGTGGCTTTTCTGGCTATCCGAGGTCGTTCCTTGTGCTACATTCTGCATCTTTACCCCCCAGATAAATCATATGACACACAGTTACACCGCGCTGGTATAACCGTACCACGACGTAGCCACACACCGTATACTCGATTCTCTCGCGATTGTGCGACAATAAGCTCTCGGGAGCACGGTCGTCGTCATTCACGTAAGCTAATACCCGCCATTTCCACTATGGCGACGACGGCGAGAGTTCGCGATACCACCTCTCGCGGCTGGCCGCGGATCGCATTCGCACATCCGTCGGGCGCTTAATTCCGATATTCGGCGAATCGCGACGTCACCATCGTGGCGCGTAACTTCAATTGCACGGCGGAACAATTTGCGATTTTTTTATCGTAATAATAAATAAAATCTAACCTTCGGAAAAATAACGAAATTATTAAATAAATATAATTAAATTATTAAATAAAATTTATATCCTCCTAAAGTTTTGTTTGTTAAATTACCGATATCGAGAGAAATACATAAATATTTATGAATCGACAAGTATTTTAATACTAGAAATATACAAGATGCCATAGATTTTTCTACCTCAATTATTTATTAAATTATATATATATATAAATGCAATGGGTTTTGTTTCTGCTATCAACTATACCATTATCTTGCAATAGATTTGCAATATAGCCAAAGATAGAACTATACACCCTTCTAATCTCTTTAATAATTAATTTAATCGAATAAATACATATTTCAGCCAGGGATTATGAACCTGGATCATGTCTCAAATGATCGAAAGCTATTCACTCGGAAAGCGAGAGGGTTCTACCCTTGGTTGAGGTAATATTTTTTTGCAATAAAAATTTCTTACAGATTTAGGATATTATTAAAAAGTTCAGACATAGCATTCAATTGTCTGAACCTTTTAATAATATCTTAATCTGTCTACATTTTTCGGATGTGTAAGTAAATGGTCCGTAGTTACAACAAAAGTTTAGAAATGATTTATGGAATTTATTTAATTAAAAAAAATAATAAATTTATTTAAATTAAAAAAATAGACGCTCAAATTAATATCAATTAAAATCCACTGTAGAATTTTAAGAGTAGAACTATTTGACTCGAAAAATACGTTTAATTAAAGCGAAGATATAGAAGGAACATAAATAAAATATAATTTTTAAAAATGTAAATTTTATTGCATATTTTGAATTACATAAAATAATTTTTGGAATGGTCTAAATATTTTTAAAAAATTAAACTTTATTTAATTTATCATCTAATAATGTCCTCATCTTTACTAATAATTTTGATTTAAAATAGATAAAAAAAAAAGAAAAATAAAAAGTAAAGAGATAAATTATCAAAAAAATCTAAATATGCTAAATATTTATTATTAGTATCAAAATTTCAAGATTAAAGCATCCTTCAGTTGAATCAAGTTTTTTATCTTCATATCATTCTTGAAAGTATAGTACAGATTCTTATTTTTCTTTCTCCTTAGAAATTAGTTATATTCAATTCGGTCACTCAATTTAAAAAAAATTACTTTATCAAAAAATTAAGAGCACTCTGTTGCAAAAAATTAACATTTTTCAAATTGTAATTGAAATTTGAAAAAAGTCTAGGAGATTCTATATATATCTCTTATATCTAGGAAATTCTAAATATATCTCAAACTTTATTAATAAAAATCTTTAACAAAAGCGTTTTTATGTGTATTTAATAACATAAAATTGTCATAAATAAGTTTTGTCACAAATTCTATTTAAATATGTAAATTTGACTCGTTATAGAAGCTATATTTTGAATTCACTATTAATATCTGTAATTTTTCCATTTGCAAATTATTTCTGTTACAAAAATGGTTCAATGTTTATTTCCATCATAGAACATGGAATATTTAATTCAAATTTTGAGAGTACATCAGGATGTAAAACTCCCATTTTTCCTATCACGTCACCATAACAGATAATCTCGGCGCATCGTTGAGGGAAAAACATCGGATCTAAAATATGAATAATAAATTTTTAAGTTGTCTTATTTCATATTATAAATTTTACATTCTACGTAATTATACGTAATTATATGATTAAGAGGATTTTAAAATGACAAGCGCTAAAATCCAACGTGAAAGCGTCAATTATGCACATTTATATGCATGTATACACAAATTCATATATTTGTACACACATACACATAAATTTTTGAATACTGTATTGATACTAATCTTTCATAATTAATTGTTTACGTGATCTGATTCCAAAAATTCTACATTACTTTCTCATATAATCTGCATATTATATGATCTCTATTTTATAAGTACAAATATAAAATACAACTTTTATATGAAACAAATTTTGTTAGGGAATAATAGGTCTAGATATATAAAATTAAGAATAGATAAAGATCCTTTTTTCAGTTTTTATCTATTTCGACATAAACTTGATCGATTTGGTAAACATTAGTATATATATTTTAATTATAAAAAAAGGATTTCTAAATCTGTTAAGTCAATAAATTAGCGCGTTAGAAAGAAAAAAATAATGCAGTCGATAAAACAAACGATTTTGAAATCCCCGTAAAAATATCTTGACAATATGTAACTCACCATCAGCTGCACGCAAATAATATCCATCTTCGATTTTATTCATGCTCCAAGGTACATCTAATAATAATAATATTCTATCCACTAGGCCATGAATTATTTCAAAACCAGCCGATTTATTAGCATATACTGCGCACAAACAACGATTGTTGCGCGCACCGACTTCCGCCGTATTGTCCCGCAATACGACGTCGGAAACTTCAAATAATTTATGCGGTAAAGGCATTTTTTTATTCGCCGAAATTGTCTTAAGTAATCCTGGTAAGAGTGAAGTACGTGCGACCTGCAACAGTTTATATTTATTAAAACACTGATAAAAATAAAAGATCATTGTCAATTTTATTTGTTAATAACTTTTTAATTAATAGCATTGGCATAAAATCTTTCGATTGTGTCAATTATAGATTTACCTGAAATTCCAAAGTTTTTGGATTAGATATATGAACCGCTGGTACATCATCTATTTTATATCCTAATTTATCAGCGATGTCTTCACGTGAACACTGTAAAATTAATTAAAATTAAATGAGTTGAAATATCTATATCAAAGATAATATGTTTTTAATGAAAAAGTTTTGCAAAACTTACCAAAGAGAAAGTTAGCGCTTCGGTGAATCCTGCTTGGGCTAATTCTATTCGTATTTGGTCACTAAGTTTGTTGAGTGGAAACTGTGATTTGCATATATATTTAAATTATATATTTGTATATGTAATCATTTTCAGTTTCAAAATATTTACCTCTGCTGCAATTGTTGACACGTACGGCATGACTTTCTCTATTTCGTTATACCCATAGGCAATGGCAATGTCCTCATAAATGTCACACAGATGTATTACATCATGCCTCGTTGGTGGTATTTCTACCATTAACGTATTTTTATCTTTTACCTCGGTTTTTAGAGACATCTTTGACAATAATTGTGCAACTTCTTCTGGTGTCTGCCTGCAAACAAAAAGACGAGATACATTTATCTCATATTATTCGAAAACGCTAAATAATAGCGATTCTATTATCATTAAGAAAAAAATTAAATTACATACTTAATACCAATGTAATTGATTGCTTTATTATAGTCAACTTTTTCCATCCGATATTTTAAATCGGGATAATAAAAAGTTTGATCGTCAGGATAAACTACTTCCACAATTTCCGCTGTATATTTCATTTTGCAATAATGACTGAAAGCACAAACTATAGTATCCACTACTATCCTCGCCTACAAATTATTTGTTATATTATTTTTTTTGTATTAATTATTTTTGTCATATTTTTAAGTTATAAGGCATTGCTTACGCATAAAAATATATAAAATAAAATTAATAATATAATGCATATCTAATTACTTTGGTGAGATCAGTCGCTGTACATTCAATAAAAATATTTTTTGTATCAAGTGTAATCTTTGAATGATCTCCATTGATGATAGGAGGGAGAGATAAAACAACTCCATTACTATCATATATTACAGGATAAACTGGACTATCTTTTATGATGGGTAAATATTGCTTGAGCTGTGCATGTGTCTGCAAAAATTTAATTACACATATAGTTACAAGTACGTATAAATTTTTCTTCCTCTCTTTCTTTTTGTACATAAAATCATTTATGTAATTAACATGATGAAAGTAGAATATAATACTTACTGCATATAATTGCATAATTTCTTCTCCTGTATATTCTTTATCTTGATAAAGAGGTTTGAAACGTATCTCTGATGGTGGTTTAGCATCATATAAAAATGGTCCTTTAATTGTATCCAAGTCATGAGTGCCAATGGATATAAGAGTACGTTTTCTTCCTATGTTTTGATGCAATTTATCTTGAAGATCAATGAAGCTATTGTAAGATTCTTGTGTCAAAGTAACATTTCGCAGAATCGCAGCAACTATATGTTCTCTTATTTTTAAGCACTGAAGCCCAATAAAATAATCAATATTATGTGAAATATAATAATGTAATTTTTACAAATATTACACACACCTCTGAAGTCATCACAATCCTTTCCATTCCTTTTTTTGGTTTGAGCGCTCTATAACATGGAATGGACATTCTGTACAGAAAAAAAATTTTATATAATAATGTCTCTGTATAATATTTAAAGAATGAAATTCTTTTAAATTGTAAAAAACATAAATTATATGTTTACTTATTCAAAAATATAAGCAATCCAACACTTAAACTTTCCAAGCATAGAAGATCATATCTGTTAGCAGGTATATCAATTTTATAGATAATTTCTTCAGAGGCATCTATATCTTGGATAGTGCCTTGTTCTTTTGCTATCATTTGCTTCTCTGTTGTCTATTCATAAAAAAATTAAATCATTTAAACTTGAATGCAAACATGTATATTCTTAATAATCTGATACTCACTACTTCATCTAGTTCTAAGCCAAACTTGAAGCACAATGTTTGAAATTCATCATCAGCTAGAACAAAGTTTAAATATTTCTTTAATAAAACGTTTTAAAAATGCAATTATAATTTATGAATTATTCAAGATATTCTAAATGAGATATCATGTATATATGCATGCGACGTGAGTATAACTTACAATACGTTCTACCCAATGCTTGAAAGAGTAAATCTCGTTTTATTCCAATAGTTGGCATTTTTATTTTACAATAATATCAATGTAATCAAGTAAATCCTTGATATTTTTTATCGTATCTTTGTATGTTTCTTATTAATCTACCTATAATTACAATGGATTTTTAGGTTAGAAAAAATGATCAAAACAGATTTTCTTCAAATAGATTAATTTTTTAAATTGTCACATTTTTTTCTTAGATTTACCAATTCCATTTACAGTAATGATTCACTTTAATTGTATTTAAAAATTACTCATAAAAAAATGACATGTGATTCTACCTGTTACATCAGCCGGCACATTTCGCTGTTGGAACACGAATAAAATGCAAAACGTGGAGGCCAGTAACCTCAAAAATACGGCAAAAAGAATATTCGATATCGTTAGACTTTTTCTTATTCATTCAGTTATTTGCGTAAATTCTTTTTTATTTATTTTCTTTCTCGAAAAAAATGTTTATACCAAATGCAATAAAATGCAATCAAAATTGATCAAAATTGCAGTTTACTATAGATTAACTTGCGTGAGTCACTGCGCACGAAGAATTGCTAGTTTATGACAGAATCTCGGAAGTCTTTCAAATTTAATTAAGTCAAATGAAATTTGTAGATATCACGTTAGTATCACGTTAAAAATAAAAAAATAAGTTATAAAGATGCGATTGCAAGTTGAAAAAAATATATAAAATTTGTGCGTAATTATATATTTATTTCATTTTTTAACAATTGCAATTTTATATCATGGACATACAAAAAATTGATTTACATTCACAACTGAATTGTACATAGAAAGAAAAAAAGAAAGATATTTTACATAGAATGATATCAAATGTTACCGAATCTATCATATTAAAGTCAAGCTTATTATATAGTACAATTAATTATGCCAAAATATGAATAGAATATTTGTCTGTTGTTCACAAAGCTTTGTACATATAATAAAAATGCAAATAATACTTAATTCAAAATATATCTAATTTTTATTCATACCTATATTGACATTTCACTTGAAGTACAATATACACTTGAATCCTATATAAAGAGAAAGAAGTTCCTCCAAATACATAAAACACAGATTGTAAATGCACTCCATGATATTAACTTTACACACAATCTTACACTATTCATTACATGTACTATGTTTTAGTATAGCATGGCTATTTTATATACATTTTTATCAATTAACTTGAATCTCGGTTTGACTTATTTTTAGTTTTAAGAATTAGAAAAAGATAGAGTGTTAATTAAACCGATATTGAAATTAATAGAACTTAATAAACTAATAAAAATAAATTAAATGGGAAAACCATTATTCAAAAATTGCAACTGGTTGTTGCTTTTTTTCTCTCTTCATATAGGATTTATTATACACATTCTCGCAAAAAATGCTAGATCATAGATATATATATATATATATTATATATATGTGTAGATTATATATAAAGTTTACCTAGATATCATCTAGGATCAGAGAATGTTTCTCCCGTTGTTATTACAAAACTCCCATTATATTAAATTAGATGAAATGCCACTTGTATTTTCAACATGAGCAACCATTGTACCATAGTTGTGCGAAGTAAATGGAAAATCTTTTAGATCTTCTAGATTTTGATGATCATCAATTTCAATTGATCAATGAGCTGATCATTCTAGAATATAAATCATAGCAAGGGAATTAGAACTTTCATTTTTAAAACTTTTAAATAAAGTAAAGTTTGAAGATGTTGAGAAAGAAAGAGGGAGAAAGAGAACTCACCCATACAGGTAATAGAAAAATGAAAGAAGATAAAATGCTAGTTTGATCCATCCTTCTCTATGGTACATAGATAAATCGTAAGCGTTCATTATACTTGTAGGATCATACAAGCCTGATTCCGTCATCAGAGGCCTATTCATGTACCGCCATACATGATAGGCTATCAACGGGATGTTGATAAATAGTGAAAAGTATTGTTCACCAATCAAAAATAAAACATTAATCACAATGTGCAATATGTACTCTGGTAGAACAAGCTGAAATTGATATAATTAAGTGAATTGGGAAATTTCAGTAAACAAAGTCAATAATATATTAGCAAAATTTGCCAACAGATTCGAATGAAATATTGATTGAAATGATAGATTCTACTTAGATTTCTACAACTAATTTGTCATCATATTCCATGAATAGATTCTGTTAGATCTTTGCTGGCATTTTGTCATTAAAATTCATAGAGCAACTTATAAGATTCATCTTTGATATGTTAGCTAAATGTATAACTTGATATCCAAAATATAAGCACACATGTGTCTTACCGGATTTAAATTATTACATTGATCGATAGGATTTTTGTATCCAGTCTTTAATTCATCAAACGTGATTACCTAAAAAATTTAATTATTTTTAATTATTACATTAACTGCATGGTGTAATATATATCGTGAATATTTTATATCCGATAAGGTTATGCACAATTAAATCAACGTATCGTGTAGATGGTGTCCCTATCTGAATTGTCGCATGAATATTTCACACGAGACACGTACATGAAATATCGCGAAAAATATTAGGAACGCGTCGCCGATCAACGCTACGATATACGAAAATACAGCCAAGTTGAACGCCATTCTGCATGTAGACAAAAGCCACCGCCGAATCACAATGAATCTGATATCAAGTTGATCACGTGACAAACTTATATGTTGATTCGAAATAAAGCTGCGGTGACTTTTGTCCCCTATTACACTATCAATCGATCATCTTAATTTAATTACAGATTGCTAGATTTCATCATGTCTTTTTTGTCTTATACCTCGGAACAATTCTTAAATTTATTTATAAATCTCTTCTTTATTAGTATTAGTATTTAAAAATAAGAATATAATTGTTGATGCAAGAAATTGCTTTTTAAGATGTTTTGGTGAGGATATGGGCGTCAGGAGTCAAGATTAATATATAAAAAAAGAAAATTAGAATTTATTTAAGTTTATTTTGTGAACAAGCGATATATTTTATAACATTCGTATTTGATCATACCAGAGTCCACAAGTCGAATTCTAGAATTCGAAATCTGTTACTAAAATTTTCTTTTTCGCCTATCTTTCAATAATTTTCTCGAATTATTTAAATACTTTTCGTTTAAAGTTTTATTTTTCTAAATGACGAAAATTAACGCTATGCAAGTAAAGTCGTAACAATACAATTGCCATAATGTATATGTGTGTTTAATTACATGAAAAATATAATAAATTATTTTTTTATATTTCTTGATTAAAATATATACAAAGTAATATACAAAGTTTTAAAACAACATGGGTCTTTAATGTATCCTTAAAATAATTTTTAAATAGTCCTTGTAATATCTGAATTGACATAACTATGATTAAGTAAATGCTGAGATTCCACTCTAGTTGCTCTTTGTTGCTCATCCCATTTTGAATTATAATTTAAAAGCATTTCTCTCTTTGGTCTCAACATTTGTCTAATATTACCGTAATTTATATCCATTTCTTTAAAAGCATTCAACAAAAATATAGCAATTACAACTACAAAAAAGCCACAAGAGGCACCCAATATGTTTTCCACGCTCATTTTTGTCCATTCTCTGAATAAAATCGCAGATGCTATTATTACCAGAGTTGTAAAAAAGACATAATAAACTGGTGTCACAACGGATGTGTCAAACAAATCGAGCGATTTGTTTAAATAATTCATCTGTATCATGATGCAAAGAATAACGCTAAATATAAAGACCCAAGTTAGCCAATTGGCAAATGCATTCTCTTTGCCAGAGATGGTCTCCTTCAATGCCAAACCTAAACCTTTACAACTCATAACAGTCAAAGAACCAACAGACGAGCACAAACAAATGTATACCAAGATATTTTGCTTGCCATACGCAGGACCAAAGTGAAAGATAATCAACAAGGTAGACATTATCACAATTAAAACATATGCCACATAACCTGGCTCTCTTATTTTGACAACTAGATCACTTAGATTGCTGACTTCTTCCTCTTTTGGAGAATGCAATACTATGATCGTAGAACCCAAGATGCACAATAAGCAGCCCATCTGAAAAAGAAAGAAAATAGATTGTAACACTAATATCATAGATTGCAAATTATTTTATCATTAATGTTTCTATAGATTTTTTACTTTTCCCAGTAAATTTAACTTTTCATTAAGATATTTGGATGCTAATACTGCTGATACTAAAACACTTAAGGCACCCAATGGGGTTACAAGCGATGCTGGAGCAAATGCATAAGCAATAAAATTTGCTGCTTCTCCTATACCCACTGTAACATTCGTTTTGATCATTTGTATACAAATATCAAAAGAAATTAGCTGTATTTGAAGAATTTTTTGAAATTTATACATACTAGATAGCAGTCCAGCCCACCATATCCATTCTTTTAAATATCCAAAACCTCCAGATGATGCACGCAGTCCACCGTACTTTTGAAGCTGGATTAAAGCCTTCTTTTTTATAATAAAACTAGCACCTAAATTAAAACAATGACCAAACAAGTTTTATTATTATTTTTTCTTAATATTTAACTTTTCTACAATGGCAAAGTAATTAATACGGACAAATGTTAATCCTTTTTATAAAATTTTGAATAAATTACATTATATGACTAACCTATAAAACCACTTGACATAATTGCGAGTCCTAAACCAATATAAAAGTTCGTCGTGTTATAATTTTCATCACTGTTTGTCATTTCTGTCACAGAATTCATGTTTCACTCTGTCAAGTCAAGATATTGGTTCAATTACATATTTTTATTTCAGCCGGTTACATTATAGTTATTCGGTAAATCATCGAAATTACACATGATCACATAATATTATTATATATTATTTATATATTAGACACATGCATTAGATTACCAGATTATGAGACCTGGATTTCTCATCACTTAACGCAGAACACAATTATGTATATAGCAAATATATGATACATAGGTATATATCATGTATATAATACTTTTATGACAAATAGTTAAGTTCGAATCTCAAAAGTACTCTTACGCAATGCTACACGATTGGCTGTCTAATAGTATATTTCTCAAGTTCTATAATTTCCCTAGTCAACAGCCTATCATGTACAATTTGAGACTATCAGAAAAGATCGAATATTCCTTTGTCCTTTGCTCGAATATTCCCGATCATATTCAAATTTCGTTCTATTTATTTGAAATTTTAAATATTTTAAATATTATAGAGATACTAAAGTCAGGTTTTTTTATATAAAATTTAAAACTATATATGTTAAAGATAATTAAAGATAATTAAAGATACAAATTATTTGTAGACATCTAATTTTACGGTCGACATTCTTCGCCCGTCAATCGACGTCGATTGTCTTTTGAAAAAATTTTTACTATATGTATATTCTCTTTGTAAAATTTAGTTGTGCGTCCATTTTCATGTAATTTTTATTAATCACGTATATTCGTAGATTTTTATCAATTAATTTCTTATTAATTAAAATTATAAAACAGTAGAAAATTTTTTTATTTACTCTTAGTTCAACTCTCTTTGCTTGTCTACGAAAGATAATCCGCAAATTATGAGACACTCTATATATAATATTAGAAGACGAATGCGACATCTAGATTACAGCTATTGGAAATTATTATAATAATGTAAAATTACTCAGACAGTATTACTCTCTCAAATAAAATTGACTAACAAATTGAAAACATCATAATATTAAAAAACATCTCAAAATATTTTTTAAGTTAGCATTTTAAAATTTTATAAATGCTTTATAGAAATATTAGAGAAGTATTTATATAATATTTTATTTCGTTAATCACGTTTGAAATCATTTTTAAATATATAATTTCAATCGGTTATGCAATATAAGTAGTAAAATATAGAAATAGAAAACAAAGTAAAAAATTTTGATAAATCTATAATACCTGTCAATAATTTAATGTACATAGAATTCTAACAATTTAATATTTTTTTATCAAAATTTTATATAATTATTGTTAATAAATCAAAAATGTATATGTGTACATATAATACAATAAAAATATCTATGTAAAATTTAGCCAAAGTTGCGTAATTAACAGCGGTTAAATAATAGTTATACCAATCAATATATTACATACATGATACATTTGATAAGAAAGGTGTGAATAAAGCATATCATATCACTATGTTCTACGTAAATTCATGTGTATATCACGGAGAGTAAAGAAAAAAGATAGAGAGGAGAGAAATATTTCGGCAAATAAGATTACGCGAGCGATAAGATTACACGAGCTTTTAACTCAGCCTACAGATACGATAAGCATCATCTCGTATTGAGGCTTCAATCGTGCCGTATCGATTTCCACTATGTCAGGTGAGAGAAAAAGTTTTTATGAAGTATATTAAAAATAGATATTAAAAGGATATCGAATCCTCTCATACAACATTAATTCTCCATTCACTCACGTATATCTCATAAATTTCTTCGATGTATTATCTACATTTGCCGTATTGTGTAATTTAATTCAATGTCGTTGTTTCCTACGTTTTCTTCTCATCAATAAAAAGAATCTAAAAGCATCAAATTTTAAAGCTCTAAAGTTACAATCATATTATAATCAAGATAAAATTTAAAGAATGGAAAATCTAATTGAAGAACAGAATTGCATTCTATCGTTCTCGCTTCTCACACTTTTTGAAATTATGACAGTTAATTATATTAAAAGTGATTAGTCTAATCTAAAAATCTAGTACAAAACAGATAATACAAAGATTTAAAATAATCTTTATATTCTTTCATTTTTCTCTATATTCTTTTACTTATATGCAATTAAGGCTTTATTATTCTGCAACGTATAGTGTTAATACATGTGCCTTTGTGTAATATTTGCGCGATGTATAATAATTATTACTGTAATAGTCACCTTAATATAATTGCAAAAATATAAATCTATTAATAAATTTAATTTTAGTTAAATTTAATTTTACTTTACTTCAAAAAGAATATGAATCATGTAGTTTGTAAAGATAATATCACATGTGAAATCATCGATTACAAGAACTTTCTGGAAGAGTTTTATCATATCAATTACAAGAAACGTATATTAGTATTGGTAGTATGTTTTAATATTACGTAACACGCATATTCGTTATACTTTTACCAGTTATTTGCAGATGTCTGTAATATGATACAAAATAAGATACGCAACATTTGATGGAATTAAAACTTTTATTATTAGGATTTCGATATTATCGAAATCAATGATTATCAATAAATAGACCAATAAACGATAATACAAATAGATAATGAAGAAAAACATTTCAGATAAATTGAAAAAAATGAAAAAAAAAAATTTTAAATAGAATATAACATTAAAAGTTTATTTTTTATAATTCTAGTATCAAAATCAAATAATTTTGTTAAAAATTGTTTTGTAGTGATTATCCATACAAAAAATAATATTTTAAGTTTAAAGAAGAAAAAATTAAGATAAAAGTTGTTTATCTTACTAATTACAAATTTTCTAATTTTAAATTAAATATTCAGTAATATGTTTTTTATGCGAAGATAAAATAAAATAGAGAAATTGAAGCTTGAAATGAATTCGTTCAAATAAGATTAATTTATTAAAACATAACAAATAAGATAAATAGCTCGCATTAAGATAAATAGCTCGATTGTTTTTTCATAAATATTTTGTTTTTATTCCATTTCTGTATACTTATTTTTGTATTCTTATTTTGCTCGTTTCTCGTTCTCTCGTTTCCCTTTCTTGTTGTTAATTAATTAATATTATGATATTGCTTGACAGTTTATCATTATTACAGCCTACAGATGGGTAAACCGTATCAGCGGCCAATCGCTGCCAGAAAACGCGGTCACCGGCGGCCGCGACTGTGATGGAAGTACAATTTACGTTGGCAGAGCTTTCCACGATGGTGATATGTTGCCGGCGAAAGTCATCCCTGATAAGAGGGTCGCCTATGTTTGTCATGGCGGCGAGGAACACCCTAAAGATGAATTTGAAGTAAATGTAAAACTAGATCAATTTTTTTTATGCTACAAAAAAAAAACGCGATCAATTATGAACATCGAGCAAACTTTTGCATCGCTTTATTGCTTTGTCGGAAATGGAAATTTATAAAATTTTACATCTACAAAGTCTCATATCTAAAAATCATAAAATTCGATCTCTAACATACAAAAAATTATATCGTTGAAATCAAATAAGCTTTATTCGTAATTTCTTCACAAAAATAATCATCGTCGATTTGCGGGATAATTTGTCAAATTATAAATTGTTTTAATCTCTAAAAAAACTTACAATAGTTTCCTTTCATTTTATAACAGCGATTAAAAAAGTTACATCACTTTTGCAACTTACGTAACATGTGAAAGGTACATAGTCAAAATACAAAACTTACTAAGATTAATGGTATCGATTTTATTAGGTTCAAGATAATCTGATATGAAGTCTTTTTTGAAAATAGCTATCGAACTGACCAAGATATGATTTGACGTAGATGGCTCATCGATTCGCACAAGATTATTATTATAACAATATTTCGCTATCAAATAATCTCTCCTGGTGAAATAATAATGATAACAGTGTATAAATGTTGATAGAGTTAATCGTTGATGATTATTATAAGATATTAATTATTTCTTCGTACAAAACCGATATAGGGATAAGATATTCAATATAAAAATAATACATAAAATTTAAAATAACATATTTAAAAATAACATATTTGAAAATAATAACACAATATTAAATTTTATTCTTTTCTGCGACACGTTTCGTCGAAATCGCGCTCACTTCTATCTTCTATTATTCAGTTCGTCTTCGACATGTCTCTCGGACAATCGCTCGTGAAAAGAAGAAGAAATATATGTATATATAGAGAATTTAAATAATATGTTAAATGCTCATAACGATATGATACCAGGTCCTTTGCCAAGGGGAATTTGCATGGGAGTTCAGCAGTAATGGTGAAGTACCAGCGGATGCGATAATCGCCGGTCAAACCGCGGATGGAGAACCTCTGTACATTGGCCGTGTCCTCCATAGTGGATCTCAAACGGTTGGCAAGGTCGGTCTTTTCGGCAACTGTTACTCTCAAGATTCGACAATAGTTGGCATGCATATGACACGTAATATATTATGACAGAATGCCATTCTGACATTCGAAACAATAATCAAACTATTTTTCAATTTTGCATTTGGCAGGCGAAGTTTATTAGCAGGCGAATTATTTTATTCTACATGCAGCCCGTATTTGTTCCTAATAAAAAATAATATAATTCAGCCGCTTAAAAATATATATATATATATATATTTTTTTTTAGGTACAACCAAGTCATGGATGCCTCTACATTCCATTCGATGGAGAGGAACTGTCGTTCAAGGATTACGAAGTACTCGTCATGCATTAACTTGATTACAGATGTAAAAGAGATTGAAGATGTAATGCATTTTATACATGGCCAAAGTTAATTGAGTCAAGCAAAACAACCTCCAGACAACCTGTTGAAGCATAAAGTAATAAAGAATGGGAAATGGTCGCGAAACAAAATATCCCGTTTTTTAAATATTTATAAAAATGTATTAAAATAAAATAATTAAAAAATAATTTTTAAATAATTTTTTAAAGATGTTTAAAGATGAACAAGCAAAGCAAATCATTTCTATCAAGGATAAACTAGATTACTAGATACGTTATTTGTGTTGCTTATTCATTCTAATAATAGCGTAATTTACTATGTTAATTAACTTGTTATTTTGCAGCATTTATTATATGATCATCTCTTGAGCATTTCACACTTGAAAATAGTACTCAGATACATTACAAAAGATTTATATTTACGATTTGTTTGAATAATAGTTTTTAACAAAAAAAAAGAGTCAAGCTTGAATATTTTAGACAATTTGAACAGTTCAAAGTTTCAAGCAGTAATCAGTCTGTAATGTCAATTTTCATAGAGAGATAACAAAAGAATTGGAAATATAGTTTGCATTGAAAATAAAGGAAATAAAGAAACATTTTTTACGAGTCATTGCTTAAACTTAAGTTTAAGTTAAAATAAATTTTAAACTTTTAGACTTAAAGAAAGATTTAAATTATTTAATGTTTGATTTTGCGATTCAAATTAAACTATTCAATCATCTGATATTTTTGAATACTATTTGGGAGTAACAGTGAATGCTTTCCAAAAACAAATATAAGTTGACTAGACTTTTGTCGATTTATGGAAAACCCCTTGGTGCATACTTATGCGCCATATTGCTTGTACAAGTTTTGTTTTATTCATACTGAATATTATTGTGAAAATAATATTTGAATAACATGGTGATGTTAGAAAAAATCATAATGTAAATCGTAATATGTTTGCAAATCAAATAGTAGTGCAAAATTGTTTGTTTTATGTTTATAACGATCATTGATTGACACAACATAAGCTTCTGTGTTTCAATAGTAGATAATAATATAGGAATCATTTGCATAGCAAACAAACCATGAAAATAAATAATACATTAGCGACCTAAAAGTATTACATCGCACCGGTAAAAACGTGTACAAGAGAAATCGTTTCTGTCCACTAAATTCGATAGCTATGAGAAAAAAAAATCGAAAGTTGCTTTATGCGCTGAACGCGGAATTGGAATCGTTAACTGGTTGCACGGTGATTTGTTGGAAATCCACGCTCTCGAGTAGCGGTTCAACAGAGCGAAAATGTGAACGAAATAAAATACCTTTGTTGGTCGCAGTTAACTGTCGCTACAGGTAAATGATTTATCGCGACATATTAGTGAGTTTTTGTAAATCGGCATTATCGATCGCGGAGACCAAGCCAATTGGTCACCGAGAAAGAATTGTACCTCTCGCGCGCCGCAAGCACGGCCGCCATGATGACCGACGAGGATGGCTCTTGAGTAATGACGACCACCGTGACGGCACCCTCGGTCGGTCGGATATCAAGACAGAGAGAGAAAGAGAGAGAGAGAGAGAGAGAGAGAGAGAGAGAGAGAGAGAGAGAGAGAGAGAGAGAGAGAGAGAGAGAGAGAGAGAGAGA